CAGGCTGTAGGGAAGTCATCCCGGTCTCATTTTCCTAGGAATGTGTTCTGCCTTGAATCCAAACCCTCTGTGTTCTCTGTATGTTCAGGATCTCTACATCACAACTAGTTTTAAGATGCCACTTTTCAAAAGAAAAAAAAAAAAATCCTACAAACAGACAGGATTTCTTGCCCACAGAAAACAGGATGGAAACAGGAATGGCTCAAACATTGGCAATCACAGAGGTCATTGATTTAGCACAAATACATTAATCCCTGGGTTCTCTTTGTCCCTCCTGGGCCCTGCCACATCCCTCTGTCCCACACGCACCCTCAGGATGTAACAATTATTTTTGTGGGATCATGGAAGCCCCAAGTTGCAGCATGAGGTGTTCAGAAATGTGAAGGCACACAACACTTGCTGAGGCTGCACTGGCAGGTGCTCAGAGTTCCACTAACACACGTCAGACTCATCTTTACCTTTCGTTCTCATCGCGAAGTTTTTTATATTCTGCCGCCACCGTTTCGTGCTTTTCACTTTGCTGCAGCATCTTCTCCTGTTCTGCCTTGAGAACTTTCTCCAGCTCTTCCAGTTGCACCTTCTGTTTCAGCAGCTGATTGTACCTGCACACCAAGACAATATTTAAATGCCTTTTTGTGGACTGAAGAGAATATGGAGTTTTTATGAAATGGCGACTGTTTAAAGTTGCAAATCTGTCCTAGTTAGAACAGCTGGGACCAGTTCATCACTGGATGGGTGTAACCCAAAACTGTGTACTCTACAGCCTTCCATGCCACTGCCCAGAAACTGTTCTCAATGGACCATTTACACCCTCTGCCCAGAGCACCCCTGACCCCTCAGGCTAAACTGACCCATGAGACAGGAGGATGCTCCTGTGCTCACACCCAGTGTGGAACTCCCCACCCTGAGGGAGGCACTGGCCATTCCTGCCTGAACTGGAGGATAGGTAATTTTGGGGTCTTGGGACTTTTTTAACCACTTGTGGGATCCTGAGGAAGACTG